TTTCTATTAAAAAGTTATCATTGGACTTTCGGGAAAAATTAAGTTAAGTATAAAATCCTATCGATTGAATTGTAATTGGCTTAGTGGCGGCTAGCTCTATCGCTCATTAAGTTCTTGTAGTTAACAAAAACCTTAGATTGTGTCATTGTCAATATGATACTGTTTTTATGTGGCACATTCTAAAGTTATTGATGGCTAACAAGGACCTAACAAATGATGGATACAGCCGCATTTATACCTAAAAATATTTCAGGTACCAGTATCACTACCGGCACCTTTTCAAATTCGCTTTCACCTCAGCCTTCATCAACATATTCTTTTCTCATAACACCTGATGAGAACTTAGATGAAAATACACTTTTCTTAAGTATGCCTTCAATATCAACCGAGCCCCAAACAGCCACTCAGCCATTGACATTAACCCAGCCTTTAACATTAGGTCAGCCATTAACATCAACCCAGCCGCAAACATCAACTCAACCCTTGACACACTCCACGTCCAGGGTTTGCACTCCACCACCCACACTCAATAAGTTTGGAAACATCACAGCAGAAGTAAGATGAAAATATATTTTCCGATTTTAATATTTAAATTTGTTTTCAATTTAATTTCAGAATCTTAAAAGCCAAATTATTGCCAAACATGGCAATGAAAATATTTTTGAAGAATATGAGAGAATTGTTTGATCAACCAAACACGCAAAATTATGGTAAACTCGGTATGTGACCTTTTTGTGGAGAGATAAGGCCTTTCAATCCCAACAAAAATAAAAGAAGAATATGCAAAGTGCATTATCGAAATATTTCCAAATTTGAGGGATCCCTTCTCCTCTAAAGGATATATGTAAGAGTTTTTAATTTGTTATAATAACTTTCCTAATCAAATTTCTCAAAATATTTTAGGAGATTTTTTTTTAATCCTCAAAAACATGACGGGTTTTTGGCATGGAGGCTAAAAACTCTTTCGAGAAAAAATCGCGAAAAAAAAAAGTATTTATCAAGCCGGGCCTCCGACTAAGCTAAAGAAAAAACGGACGACAGTGATGAAGAAAATCATAATATTAATCTTGACGAAATAATAAAGGAACTGAAGCTCGCTCATCCAAAGAAAGACAATAGTTTAATCATTGACATAATTTGTCGGACCCTTCATATTTGTGATAATGAAAGTTATAATAATTTTATAAACTCCAATAAGTTTTCAAATAAAAACATGGCAGACAACTTTCTTAGTACCTTTTATTTCAATCTATACAGGGTGTTCCGAAATTAATGCACCAAATTATGGCATATTCTACATCGAAAATAAGCCCTAGTTACCTATATAAACATATGTCCGGAAACGCTTCCTTTCCGAGATACAGGGTGTTGAAATTCTAAGAAAAAAACTATTTTTTTATCATAGTTCATACCACTTTGAAATTTTGTACACTGGTTTCAAGCAACCAAAGACATTTTCTGACGTAGAATATTTAATAAAAAAATTACCAGTGACGTCGCAAAACTAATTTGAAACTTTAGGTCTTCAATATTTAACATTTTTATAATAATTTTGGCAATTTCGCCATGCATCAAAGTGGTTTTTTATTTTTTTACTTTAAAACAGTGCATCTTTTGGAAAAAAGTGAAGAGATCAAATTTGTTCTAAATTGAATGGGGATTTGAAAAATGATTTTTATTTTAGAAAAAAGCAGTGGCGCACTATTTTTTTCGTAAAAAATATTCCTCACAAATCTGGTAGCACGCCACTGGTAATTTTTAAAAAAAATAATTTCACATCAAAAAATGTCTTTTGCTGCTTGAAAGCAGTATACAAAATTCCAATGAAATATCTAGAGTGGTTTGAAAATTATGATAGAAAAATAGTTTTTTTCTTAGAATTTCAACACCCTGTATCTCGGAAAGGAAGCGTTTCCGGACATATGTTTATACAGGTAACTGGGACTTATTTTCGACGTAGAATATGCCATAATAATTTGGTGCATTAATTTCGGAACACCCTGTATAGTTTAGACATTTCAGGTGTAAATTATTTTTTCGGAAGATTGGAAACTACTAGATTGCAACCTTCAATGTTTTATTATCGCCAATAAAACCTTAAAGGTGCATGTATTTTCCAATGCTCCCAAAAAACGAATTACGAATAATTTCCTACAATTATTACTAAATATTGATTATATGAAACACAATGAAGTGTTAAAATGTAATCAATATTTAGGTTAATTGGTAGATTTTGGAACTAAAATCTGTTAAGGTTTGCTCAATAATGAGTATAATTAACACTAATTGGTGAAAATTTTACACTAAAGTTCCATAAAATTAATTATCAGTAACTCAAAAAGAAGTTAATTTCACTAAATATTTCTATATAAGTCACTATTTTGTGTTGGAATTGACTGAAAAAGAATTAATATATTTCACTCATTAATATTTAGTTAAATGTTACTCAAAAAAAAATGAGTCAATATTTTACACAATCCGGTGAGGACTCGTTTTGACACCACTTTGAGTTAATTTTGAGTTAAATTTCACTCAAAATTTTTTAGAGTGTATATACTGGATGCTTCTATAATGAAATTGTTTTTGAACCTTTCACTTGTTTTGCTCACGTACAGGTGGGAATCATTAGGGGACCCAAACTAATTGAACTACCGGTCCATCAACATCTTTATTTGCCAACCTAAGTAGGTGCTGCAATCGTTTCTCGAAGGCATGATCAAAACCTAACTAAAAATTATAATTTCATTATGATTATACATCATCGGTATAGGTTATTATGACGGGTCAAGTTTATTGATAGATAGGACAAAACGGCTGTACCCATAACCATTAAAATAGGGTAATTATAGTTGATCGATTTAGGTTCAGGTTAAATTACGGTTTAAAAAAATACAAATACGCCCGTTACATCGCATGGCACAACAGATCCAGCTAATAAATTTCAATGTTTTACAATGGATTCAATGTTAAAGTCTGTAACTATAAATCTATTCTCCACATTCTTTGGCGAGAAAAATTCACTTTATCGCCTGCGGCTGTCGTTCGATCCATTTCAACAGCACACTACTTTCGGAAAAATTGCCGATTCTCTTTTCTTCTAGTAACGAGCCAATTTCAGGTTTAAAAGATTTTATGGCAATTTAGGAATCTTTTGAAAAGAAGTGGCTTCTCTGTTATGAACTTCAAGGACCTCAGCCCTCCAAACCCTACGAATGACGATTAATTTTTCGGAGAAGTTGTTTGAAAGAAAGATAACTAAGTTTATGGCTAAATTTTATTATTATACAGGGTGTCCCAGCCGAAAGTGACCCATTTTAAATGCTTATAACTTTTAAACCAGGTGTGCTAGCTAACTGCGGCTTGCGCCATTCGATTTCTCTTGACCTAAAGTTTTTTTTAGTAGGTTGCAAAATTTTTTGCCTCTTATACAGGGCGAGTAAAAAAAAATCCGCTTTTCAACATCGAAATTCTCCACTATTTTTAATAGAACGCCCTGTATATCACAACGTCAAAAAAAAAAGTCATGCTTAAGGCATCTATGTACCAATAAACATCGTCCTATGAACTTGAAGTTTTAGCCGTAAAAAATTAAAATCGAAATCCTGGTATTTTTTTAAGCATATTTACAAAGCTTGGAAATTATGTTTGCCTACTGAAAAATTAATGAAAACTGCATAAAACTATAAAAAATGCTGTATATGTTAGCTATTATGTTCCACCAATGGATCAGTGAATAGTTGAATAAATTGTGTAACATTTCATTTCCTGGGGAATCGCTTCAATGACATTACGAATGTTCCACTTAATCTTCCAGGTTATTTGGCAAAGGAATACAGGATCTCTCTTTAACATAATTCCAGAGAAAAAAGTCTGGAACTGTCAAGTCAAGAGAGTGATGTGTCCATTCTATAGGACCAGATCTCCCTATATACCTATATCTTTTCCCAAATGTCATATCTAGTGATTCCCTTGCTATTAAAGAATAATAAGGTCAGGCACCATCCTGCTGAAAATAGATATCGTTCAAGAAACCCTCCCGTCTTAATTGTTAATTAAAGAAATTTCCCAACATATCAGTGTATACAGTTCCTATTATCGTTGCTTAATTAATGAAAAATGGTCCATATTTTTTCTCAACAGAGATTGCATACCAAACTATTACTTTTGGGGTATCTCGCTATTCTCACTGGAACTTGTTAAATTCTCTCGGAAAATGAATTTAAACTTAGTTGATATCTAACTTTGATATTTACAAATTTTTTTGCCATACCTCGTGATAGCATTGATAGCAAGTACCTACAACATGAAGATGCATGATGCTTTTGCAAAAATACCATGATTTCGATCTCAATTTTTTACGGCTAAAACTTCAAGTTTAGAGGACGATGTTTATTGGTACATGGATACCTTAAGCATGACTCTTTTTTTGACGTTGTGATATACAGGGCGTTCCATTAAAAATAGTGGAGAATTACGATGTTGTAAAAACGGATTTCTTTTTACTCGCCCTGTATAGGAGGCAAAAAAATTTGCAACCCACTTAAAAAAACTTTAGGCCAAGAGAAGTAGAATGGTGCAAACCGCAGGTAGCTAGCACACCTGGTTTAAAAGTTATAAGCATTTAAAATGGGTCACTCTCGGCTGGGACACCCTGTATTGTGTTTGAGTTTAACTATCTTGGTAAAATAATATTTTAGCGATTCTATGAATTAGGTAGATATTATTGTACTAAAAAATAGTATTTTCAAATCTCATCTAGGACGTCTTTATGAAATGCTGCTGGGATATACCTAAATAATAGAAATTCATTAAAATAAAATTCGTTTTTCGAATTCAGAGTAAGGTTTCTTTGCTCTATTTTTGAGCGTTTCACAAATCTAGTTTAAACAGAAATATTTCCAGAAAAAAAACGTGTTTTTGACTACCAATTCTTTAGCATTGGAGATTTGAATACTCGGTTATTCATAACGAAAAATTCCAGCTTATTCGAGCATACTTACCACTATCAGTGTGGAAGTCTTCATCTTTTTGTGGTTTCTCGTTGAATTCGTTACCTCCACCTGTGGTAGCCATCCCATTTAGAACAGGAGCTTTTCGCACGATTTCTTGACGTGGCCCCGTATATTCATGCCATCGGTAAGTACTCCGATATTCGGAGTGTAACTGCTGTAAAAAATTGAATTCTTAATATATTGAAGACATAGTTGTCATCTATTTAGAATTACTTCAAAATTCAATAAATCAATTATTTTTAAATCGCTTGGGAGAAAGTTAATTTCGCTCGTATTAATATATTTTCGCCGCTTTGCATTACAAAATAGACTTTAGGAAGGAACAAACATTTGATTGAAAAAAATGTAGGTACCTAGCTATTTTATTATCAAACATTTCACCGTCGAAGGAACTCTACCACACTGTAACAACAGACTCTCAAAGGAAGAAACATTCACAAGTCGTGACTATTACTAGATATTTGTTATAATCGTAAGTATAGTATTATAGTTATGTATTTCTCATGCTTTTTCCTCATAAAAAAGTATCCCTTAGCGTTTTTTTTTGAACTTTGATCATTCCGATTTGTACAATATAAAAGCGCTAGCTGCACCCAATTAAAATATCTCAAATTATTTTCTAATGTTATGTATATTCATCATTTTAAGTTCATGATTTTAAAAATAAACTGTTCCAATCATAATTAAATAGTATTTTATGGTTATGGTTTTATTACGACAGAATGACCAGTTAAATTAGTTTTTTGCATGATAAATTATTTGCATATAATTTATCATTTACAGCAAAAACTAACTTTTTAAATCGCCAAAAGCAAACACGAATTAGATTTTTTTGGGCAAACTAGCTTTTTGCACTTTTCACTTCCCTCGGAAGTAAGGAAAGTATTGTATTCACGTACAAAATCGACAAATATACAGGGTGTCCCAAAAACTATACGTCCCGAACAAGACCGGCAAATGATACGAAGTTGGTTAGGATATTAGGAAAAAGTTACCGTTCTTGGAGTTTACAACATAAGTAAATTTTTGTGTTGCAGATCTGCTCTACAAAATTGGGACCTGAAATTTTTATCGAGAAAAGGGAGGGGAAGATTTGAGTGGATAAAAGGCTCTAACCAATTTTTTTATTTATTATTACACTATCCTTAACATGTTTAGTCATAAATTTAAATTAAAACACAGGAAATTTTCGTTCCTGTGGTATGATTCTTCAAATGCTTCTAATATGAGCTGAAAATATGGTATTAGTTTGAATCTAACTTGAATGTATTCTGTCAAAAGAAAGTTGGAACTCACTTTTTGAAATTTTTGGGAGCGGTTTTCTCGAAATCTGTAACAGTCAGGTATGTTGAAATTATTTTATAATAACCATATGACGAATGGAGTGGGCACTATTCAATTAGCAGGTTTATGCGACACTTTCTAAACCATTGATAATGAATTTTGAAAACTCAGGCCGTCACTGGTGATTACATCAAAATAAAGTTGCTCCAGGATATTTTTATGGTCACAGAATCTGATCAAAATACAATGGCAGTTGGCAGTGTATGAATAGGGTGAAAGAAAGAAGAAAAAAAAAATGGGTAATAGCAACATCAATTTGAAACAGAATGGTCCACGTTGTTATAATTGTGATAAGTTTGCACATTTTCCCAATGCTAGCGAGAAAATAACGAACAAATTACCCCGTACAACAAATCCTAATCTACGAGGTATGAACATTAATAATGAAACTTGTGTAACTAAGCCACTATTCTAACGTGACACGCGTTTCATTATGGTGTTTATATCGAACTAATATCATTAATAACTATTATGGTACTAGGTATCCATATAATGTATCGCGTCTGTGTCAAGCGTTGATGACTTGAAAATAAAGTTTAAATTATAGAACGCTTGAAAAAATAAGTCAATATTTATCACAAAAAGAAACTAGCATTTAAATTTATGCATAGAGAAATTTGCTTGAAATTCAACAAAGAATCCAAAAAAATACGAAAATGCTACAGCATAGGTTTACCGTCCGATCGATTGTGTTGAAACCCCAATACGATGTTTGGGTAAGTAGGGCTCATTCCCAATAAATTTGAAATAAACCTCAAAAACCAAACAATAGACGAAGAAATCATAGGTCAAATGTAATGTCCACCCATTTAACCAGCAGGTAAGTATAAAAGAAAAAGGAAAACAAAAAGTTTATGGCTTTTGACTTTTGTTTAAAATTATGGAGAAGTAAAACTGTTAATAGCCTATCAACGAGAAACCAGAAAATTTTATGCAAGACTACGAGACGAATTTTAGCTTTGAATTATCGACTTATGTGTAAAATATTTATTCTTGGTCACGAAACAAACCTTCTGAATATGGAGGAGCCAAAAAAGTCAATGAACTTTCGGCTTTCTACTGCAATACCTATGATAAAAAAGTCGAACTTTGAAATCCATAGGCATGAGTAGTTCAAAAGTACTACTTGGAAGCTGTCTGGTATTGTCTGACTATATGGCCCCAGCTTTTGAATATGCGACTATGAATAATTCCAATGCAGGGTAATAAGTTTTTGTTTTCCATCCTTTAATGATAAATCAACATGAAATATTTGGTTAAAAAATGGATAGCAGAATTTTTTTGTCTGGTGTTTCATCGACGTATAACATGAAGATATGTGGTATGTGGTGGTGGCAGGTACCTACACATATTCGATATTCGATTCGATGCAATTCAATTTTGTGATTAAATAGAACACCCTGTACATCATATTGAAAAATATCTGATTTTTTCCATTTCAAAAATATACAGTGTGTCCCAGATTCGCTTCTCTATACAGGGATCTCGGCTCCTATTATACCTACGGCAAGGGTTAAATGGGGGAAGTTTAAGAGGAAGCTAAGTAAATTCGATAATCGGCTTCAGAATAACGATCGCTCAATTAGATTTGGAAATATCGGCGAAAAACCGAAAATGACGGATTTCGTTTTTTGCCCGTTAACCCGAAACGGTTAATTTGACAGCTGTCAAAATGTGACATTATTCAGACACTTTTTCAAGACCAATGAAATAGCGTGTATGGCATGTCTCAATCGTCTTTTGTTTTTCCGTAAGCCGCCTCAACTTTCATTTTTATTATGGGCGCCATATTGGATTATTCGATTTTTGAAAAAAGCATAAAATTTCCAGTCTAACGATGTCTCACAAGTGGATAAAAGATTTGAGTATCATCGAAAAATCACACTTCGTAAAGTTAATGTCTGGCCAACGGTTCTGAGGCTAAATGGCATCGGTGAGGGAAATGCAGTTGTAAAAAAAAATGGCTGACTTTATTCATAAACTACTTACCCAGCTTCGTGCGGAACTTTTCGGACGTATAATATCGTATTGCAACTCGTACACGAAAATCGACAATGACCAAACCACCACCACTGGATATTTCAATGTAAGTCGATATTTCAAGATGGAAGGATAAAATTACGGGTACCCTGGCCAATAGCGAAACGTAAGCCCCAGGACAACCGCATGGTTCCTCATGGCAACGGCGTGCCAAAAACTCCACCGATCACGTTCATCTAGGCCGCATGTTTGCGAAATTGACAAGAGCTAATGGTATGTTTAGAAAATGTTTTCTTTTGAGAATAGCGACAGAATAGACCTATCTCGCATAAATAGAAAAAGAGAGCTAAATTGTGATAAATACAAGTTAGAAAGTAATAAAAGATGACATGCGCGCGCAACTCGTGGCTACAGTGTAGCCAGATTGTATTGTTGCAGAACAAATGTAGACAATACAAATCGAACATTATAACATTGAAAAAGTGATATTTCAGTGTTGTGTTTTATAATGCCTCAAATCAGAGAAAGGAAGAGCTTTGAAGTGTATGTAAACATCGTTTGCACTTTTATTTTATGATAAATAATAGATCTGTTTCTGCAGAAATCACAAACCAGTCAGAGTGAATTTAATTGGTTGAAACTAGTTTTCTGACTGTTTTTATGTGAGATAGGTCTATTCTGTCTATTCTCAAAAGAAAACATTTTCTAAATATACCATTAGCTTTTGTCAATTTGGCAAACATCCGGCCTGGATGAACGTGATTGGTGGATATTTTGGAACGCCGTTGCCATGGGGAACCATGCGGTTGTCATGGGGCTTACGTTTCGCTATTGCCCAGGGTACCCGTGATTTTATCCTTCCATCTTGAAATATCGACTTACATTGAAATATCCAGTGGTGGTGGTTTGGTCATTGTCGATTTTCGTGTACGAGTTGCAATACGATATTATACGTCCGAAAAGTTCCGCACGCAGCTGGGTAAGTAGTTTATGAATAAAGACGCCATTTTTTTACAACTGCATTTCCTTCACCGATGCCATTTAGCCTCAGAACCGTTGGCCAGACATTAACTTTACGAAGTGTGATTTTTCGATGATACTCAAATCTTTTATCCACTTGTGAGACATCACTAGTTATGCTTTTTTCAAAAATCGTAAAATCCAATATGGCGGCCATAAGAAAAATGGCAGTTGAGGCGGGTTGCGGGATAACAAAAGACGATTGAGACCTGTCATGCACGCTATCTCATTGGTCTTGAAAAAGTGTCTAAATAATGTCACATTTTGACAGCTGTCAAATTAACCGTTTCGGGTTAACTGGCAGAAAACGAAATCCGTCATTTTGGTTTTTTCGCCGATATTTCCAAATCTAATTGAGCGATCGTTATTCTGGAGCCGATTATTGAATGCACTTAGCTTCCTCTAAAACATTCCCCATTTACCCTTTGCTGTCGGTATAATAGGAGCTGATATCCCTGTATAGAGAAGCGAATCTGGGACACACTGTATAATTATCCACCCATGAGACCGTAAGGAATGACAAAAGACTGCACAGTTTTTGCTTTTCGCTGTGCGCATCTACCTATTCATGGAAAAAAGAAACTGCACAAAAAAGATATAAATTTGAAAGATTTAGTTTAGTACACCTTTGGTATTGGTATAACAATTGGGCAATTTTCACAACTTATGGGAATTTTCTCGATGCACAGACTTCTTATTTTAGGTAGCAAGGACAAAAACAAATCGATTTACATCCATTTTAAAAAAGGAGACATAAGCACACACATAACATCGACGTTTTTAAGCTCTGTACTTGAAGCGTTACTGCTCAATCGTTGGCATCGACCAAGTTCCATTTCGGGTCAGGTCAGGGAATATTTTTTCGAGATGGACCTAAAGTGTCTAGCAAATGGTGTAGAATGTATCTTCCCAAAAACATCTTCCTCGGCTGCCTATTCATAGAATTTATTATGGGATTTGAGGACTCGGGAACACACTAACCAGCCAGTAGGTTACACCATAGAAACAATAGGTAGTTCCCATAAAGGCAGTCGCCTGAGGTTTGGTGTGACCAATAACCCGGTTCAGCCGAGCAACGGGATCCCCACGTCAACTTGTGTAGGTCCTGTCCTGATAAGCCCATCGAGAAGGCAAAAAAGAGGAAGAAAATCCAAACCGAGAAAAAAAGTTGACAGTTTGTATTTCGCTTGAAGGGAACATTTCAAACGTGACTTTCAAAATTTCATCTAGAAGCTTAACTTTCAAGGCGCTGTGGGCTCAATGTGACTCACAGTTTGTCAAAAATTGTTCACTGAACGTAGAAAAGCGCAATTGGTAATGCCCAAAATAGAAGTTGTTCGAGTTTTTATAATTGAGCTCACTTGGGATTCAATTTCAAACAATAAGTTGAACAAGAGTCGTGACGGATGTTAAGTTAACGGATGTCAAGGCATGGTGCCGACAATGTGCAACATGCGCAACAAGCTAGGGTCTCAAAACGCAATCTAGGGACAAACGAAGCAGTACAATGTGGAGATACCCTTCGAACGAATTGCAGTAGACATAATATGTAGCTGGTATATTCTCTATGACGCGCATAGTGGCAAAAAATACATCCTGGTTGAAATGGACTATTCTTGAAGTGGTCCCTATTCCAAACCAAGAAAAGTCTACAGTTGCAAAAGTCCTCGTAAACAGGGTTTTCACTAGGATTGGAATCCCATTAGAACTACATTCAGATCAAGACCGCATTTTTGAATCACGATTATTCCAGAAACTTTCACAACTACTAGGCAGTCACATGACCAGAAACACACAGCATTGCATCCACAATCAGATAGCATTGTTGAGAGGCGACGTCTGAAGTAGTTGTCAAACATCAGGTCGATAAGGACGAGCATGTACCTCGATTTTTGATGGCATACAGGTTGGCTCCAACAGAAGTTACACCAGCGGAAGTGTTGTTTGGGAGAGATCTTTGTTTACCCTACGACTCGGTGTTCGTCTCACCAGATGTCGCATGGAAGTCAGAGACTATGCTGACGATTGGTACAAAAGTTTGTTTTAGATTTTTCTTTATATTAGTCTGGGACATATGAGTTAGATTGGGTTGAAACAAGATTTTACTTGCGTCTCCGTTAAGACCAGGATTTTTGTGCTCAAAATGTTGGTGCACTGAGTTTGAGTTGGCGTTAATACCTCTGATGTTAGAGAATTCAATTATTATTTAACTTGATGTAGACTCCCCTTGCACACCCTCCTCCCGGAGATCCGAATAGGAGGGGTATTTCAATTCCGGAATTCTTTGCACCAAGGATGTCCATTATCATTTGTAATCCAAGTCGGTGACGATGAAAAATTAAAAAGAAGGATAAAAATAAAGGAGAAAAAGGTATAAAGTGTTGAAAATCGAAAGTCACGCTCCAGGTCCAAACAGTTCGACTCAAATTTACAGAACCAGAATGGAAACGAGAGGTGGTACTGCCTCAGTCGAAGAAAAGCTCTTCCCTCACTCCAAGTGATGAAAGATGATGAGAGAAGCTGGTCAGCGGTGACCGGATAGGACAGGTAGGAGAAGAAGAGGAAGCACTCTCAAGACCAGGTGAAGGAAAGAGTATTTCAGCTCGGGTAGATGTGAACCCCGGAGTTTAAAATCCATGAAATAGTCAGAGAAAGAACGGAGTTAGTGAGCGACCGAATGAAAACAAGATATTATAATCTTCCAGGCTAGCTCTGCAGATTTTTCGAAGAATGAGGTAGATTTCCGAAGCTAACATCGTTATGGGAAGCCCGTACACGATTATAAAAAGACTCAACGATGTGGTGTATCGAATCCAATGCAGTCCCAGAGGCAAGATGAAGGTAGCGCATTAGATCGCGACTATCTGATTTAAGAAAGAGGCAGTGTAACGAAATGAAAAAAGAAAAACAAAACAAAAAACAAAAAACGGAGCCACTGTGCACGACCGGTGCACAAATAGTGCATCTGTACTAAAATATTCAGGAAATCTTTCCCATTGTGTGCATTAAATAGTAAAAATTCACGAGAATACTAAATTTTTGGAATTTGTGGTTTGAGTTTCACATACCTACCTATAAAGCTCGTAGTTTGTAAGTTACAGTTAGTTATTAGTTCAATTAAGAGAACTGTTTTGTAAAATAAATTAGTTCAATAGAAATTGTTGTCGTAAGTGGAGTTTTAACGTACCCGTGGAGTTCGTAATTATGTTTTCTAACATTTGCATAAGATAAGTTGGTGTCAATTGAATTTTTTTTGCGTTGGTAATCTGCTATTACTGTGTGTCCTATCCTTTTTGGCCTGCATAAGCCGAATGTACTTAGGTGAACATTGAATGGAAAAATGGGTAACGTGCCTCAAGCCATAAGGTAATAATTTTTTTTTCTGAAATAAATAATATGGTTTCACTTCAGTTTTATAATATAAAATGATGTTTGATGTTTGTGTCCATTTTTGGATATGATTCCTAAATTCTACGATCACACCTCAATTACTTTTAACAACTTAAGAAATGGGAGACCGACTTTTACTTCCCGATAAAGTTGGTATTCTCTGTCAAGTCGGAAGTGTAATTTTTATATAGGTATCAGTAATATCAGTATTTAGTGCTTCCAAAATAGTTGCAACAAACAATACTTTCCCCTGCATTTATTTGCATTTTGTTAACATTAGGGGATAGGTGACTATTTTTTTTTGGAAGCGTTTCACCCGGAAACTATAAAATATAGGTATTCTTTCGTAAAAGTTGAAAATAATATAGTTCCGACAGATATACATGACGTTCCATACAAAATGTATGATAAATGGGGCATTTCCGGAAATGACCGATCCTGGGTTGCTGCTAAAGTTTTGTATCAAATAATACACTTCTTTAAAATTTTTAAGCTTTTCTTTTCCTCAATATGGCTTAGGTATGTATTCTCGTGGTCTGTCCATTGAGTAATGCAGGCTTTTTTAAGTACCTACGTTCAGTAAGTTGGTGCAAACTGCTAGATCAATAATAATAACCACATTTTATTTTATGGTAATCAACTGGTGTTTACAGAACAGATAAATGTGGGAAATTTAAAAGTACATTGATGAATATCTTTAACTCAACATCAGCAATTTTAATTTTTGGCTCTCATAACAAATATCAAAAATTTATAATATCTAAAACTTGCATACAACCTCTAAGCATTTTTTTCTCATAAATTTTGGAACCTAATCAAAAAGCTTTTTTTTTCCAAAATAAAATAAATGTGTCTTATTTATGAAAATGTAAAATAGACTCTGGGAGAAAAAGGAGGAATGACACAAGAGGTATTACCAAACTTAAAATATATAAATTATTCTTAATTAAAAAAATGAAATGATATCATTCACTAATACTTATTCGCAAACACTCTCACGCAACTTAAAAAAAAATTTAATCAATAGAAATTATATAATGTAATGAATGTTTTTTATTACCTTATCGACGGGCATTGCGGGGCACGTAGCTCTACACAAGTTCCAAAATGAGCCGATCATGAGTTCCTAGTGCTCTGACACCTTATTTTGTTTTTGTGATCGGCTTGAAGCCATAAAATTTTTAAACTTTATTTAAAAAGGAAGCCGACTCAAGCTCTTGGCCCTGGCACAGTCACTCTATGTGGGGACTTTGGAATTAACAGTTGGGGCCTCGAAAATGATTAGGGACATTACCGTGCCCCACCTTTTGCAGTACACTATCTGTCGTTGGAGCAGAACTTAACCGTTATACAGAGACTCATACTTTTTGAGAATCAATATTGAGGCGCTTGCTCTATTTGAGTGCAGGGGCGGCATTTCATGTTTATAGCTTGCGGGTTTTGTATACCCTGGGTCTGCATCAAATTGCATTTATGATGCTGCAGAATTGGAACCTAATTTTCGTTGAGTTTAATAACTTTACGCTGCTATCATAATAAGTTTTTCAACGAAACAAATACCTACATGATGCTATGAATTTTTTTTCTTAGTCTTAGTTTCTGATAGAATTTAAGTTTCGGGGGCCAACTAAAGAATACTTTGTTTTCTAAGGCCTGGTTGTACCAAACAGGGGTTCATTTGAACTCTACTCTTACTTGATCTTTCCCATTAAGAATGCCTTGCTGTCAAAAAATATAATACCCTGACAGGTTTCTGACATCATTGCGTTTCAAATGGGAAAAATCAAGTAGCAGTAGAGTTCAACTGAACCTCTATTTGGTACAACCGGACCTAGGAGAAAAATCATTCAACTATTTAAAAGAAGCCTCTGAAGAGACAGTATTTTGAAATACTGAAGTTTTGAAATACAATTTCTCCATTGTAGCATCTGCAGGATAAACTTTTTAATTCCTAATTTGGGCATTCGTTAACATGCCTAACTTATTCTCAACATTCTAGAAATTATTGCATCTTTTTTAAATTTGCTTTTTTACGTAGCGTTAGCTCGCATTGATATATTTTTACCAAAACTGATAAAATGATGTACCAAAACCAAAATTTTCAAATTCATTTTCAGTTGAAAACCTTATGTCAACAAAGTAACTAAAAAAAGTTTATTCAACGGGTTATTTACACTTTTTAATATTTTGGCGAAAAATTCACTGCATTTTAACAAATTCCGGTTCTGTTCTTGAATATGCGCCAGTTGGCCAGTAGATTGTTGTCGGGCTTGCTTTTGCCCCGTATTACGCAACTCCTTTCCAGCAGTGGCGCCATTCATAAATAAGAGCTGGCTCTATCTGAACAGTTTATCTAGAGATAATTAGTTGTAGGTAAACAAATTATTACATTTCGGCATTTCCTATCTGTCTAGACATTTAAAATACATTATCCCATAGCAAATTTTTGCAAGTCGAAGCTAGCGAATCTTGGACTTTAATTATGTCAGGACAGAACTTCAGCTTTATCAAAGTTTACTTTATTATGTAGTATGATAAAAATGCAAACAAATGATACTCACATAATAAGTCTTTACCTATAGGTACCCTATACCAGCACCAAAGTTTCGTAACTGATTAACGTGAAACCTTTTTTTAAAAAACTTTTATTAGCTTAGAAAGGTAGGTACATATAAATGAACTAACTCAATTCTTGTCCTCCTATTTGTATGAAATAAATATGCTGATTATACAGATATTTAAGCAAAAAGAACTTGCAGCTTCAGTTTTCTTTGAATTGTCAAATATAGTTTGATACATCATTACTTATACATTATACTTAGAGTGTACCTACATTGTGATAAAGTATAAAATAAGTTCAATATAAAAGAAATTGAGGCAATTGTTTGAATATTTTTTGCACCAATTTTCAACGTTATCACTTTAGTTTTTTAAAATGGTTCCCCCTGTATTTTTCTGGATTCTGCGGAAAGTTTCACCAACAATTTCTCCTACATTGATTGTGATTGCACTTCCAGTCAGCGTTAGCCGGTCGTTGTTGTGAACCGGTCTTATCTTCTCATCGTTTTCGTTGTTCCTACGATTCTGTTTGTCCTTCGCATCCCTCTCGGAATCCTGCAATCCTCGATAGATAATTCGTCGCCATGCGAATCTATCCAGGGCCGTAGCCTCCGAGTCAACGACATCGATTCGTTTTCATGTTCATCTGTGAAGCGTTAAAGTTGCCCTTCCTGGTTGCGTTTGTCATTTTCTAGTTGGAAATATGTAAAAATGTAATCTAAGATTTTGATTTGGGCACTTATGTCGTAGTAGTCAAATACCCTTTTCAAGAAACATCCAAAATCTGCGTTGACGCACTAAAGTCAGTGTTAAATTGCTGCGTCAATATTTATTTTTGTAATGGGCCCCTTGCATCAATTTTTTTATTGCTGATTTCGTTTGTCAATGAAAAATAAGTCAACACGTGTTTTTTTCTTTTTTTTGTTAGACAAAAATTGACGGAGATACAACGCTTTGAAATTTACTTATTTTTCATATCCTATGACGTCACATCATGCTCAGTATATCTAGATATACGAAACTTAATATTTGTATAACTTTCGGAATAATCATATTTGAACAAAATAAAAAAATACGTATAGATTTTTTTTCGATTTCCTACAGTTTGCAATAAACAGTTATCAATTTAATTTTTCATGCAAGGTCCCTGCTTCATTGATACTTACAGCTGGACCTGGTGCATTATAATTTGGAGCAGGCTGCCATAGGATTTTTACCTTATCCGTGCTTAGTCTAGACCGTTTCTTCCCTAAATGCATTTAGAGTGAATTGTAGGTCTTCTTCAGTGGTCGCCAAGAAAGCGTTATCATCAGCATATTGAAGTTCACAAACAGCTATTGTAGATACTTTAGCCTTGACTCGAAATCTGCTGGCAACTTATCCAGCTTATCATCAGTTCAGGCAGGTTTTCATGGACATGGTGAAATACGGCTCGTACAAATATAGAGAATAAACTTGGCGCACTGACACACCCTTGTTTCCCTCCGGCTGTGATCTCAGAGGTTTTTGTGAGTTCTTTGTTGGTAAGGATAGTGGATTTTATGTTTCATGCAGTGAAGGAAGTATGTTTATAATTTTAGGCGGACAGCCGTGCAATGCTAGTAATTTCCGAAGAGCTACTCGATTACCAGAGTCAAACTTTTTGTCATATTTTTTATTGATGCCATATACAGAGGTTTGTTTTGCTCTTCCGATTTTTCCTGAAATTCTTACGCATTGAAGGTCATGTCTACTGTCTCTCGATTAGGTCTTAAGCCATACTGTGTTTCGGGTTTGGCTGCTCCGGACAGAGGACAAAGCCGATTGAAGAGTATCCTAGCAAGCATTTTTCAGGCAGTAGAGACAAAAGTGTCAAGTTCTTGAATGGAGGTATCTCGAAAATCTGTGAGAATCGTCTGAGTAAACAATAAACCTATGAAACAATCTTGAATAGCCCAGCAGAAACTCCATCTAACTTTTTTGATGGAAAGGAACGTCACTCTTGAGCTTTTGGGGAAACTTGCAGAGGACGTCATTATTCACGTGGAAATCTGTATTAAGAGAGTTTCTGAAAATGCTTTTTTTATCAAAAACTAATAGAAGTTGAATCTTTGAGTACCTGAGTATCTACCATATCTAGATCTTAGGGAATTTATACTTTTTGTACAGGACCCATGCGTTGCTTTTGTGGCGCTGGAGGAGGCTCTGCTGCTAAATGTTCCGATTCGGTGTAATTTTTTGTGTACCACTCGTTATACAGCATTCTTGTTCGTCATTGTACTTATTTATTGCAGGCTGATGTTATTGAAGACTTAAATCTTCTGATATATGAAATTCTGAATTTCTTAATTTTTATCATCAAATCAATCCTGCTGTTTCCTCGTAACAAAACCTGTCCATTCTTGACAGGCTGTCAGCATAGCTGCTTTAAGCAGTGACCAGTGCTTTTAAATATTGTCGGGATATTCAGATGTCAACTTCTCATTCAATGGGAGCTGGGAATTTGTTTTTATGGCTTTACCTTCAAGTCGCTAAATATTCACCCTACATTGTGGTTGTTTCTTTTGTTTCCATCGTTTTGGTGGTAATTGTAGAGTCATTAAAGAACGAACAATTCGGTGGTTAGTCCAACAGTCAACAGCGACAACTATAACTGATATGTTTAATCCGGACTACAAAAACATCAAAGCGTTATTAACCCAATCTCCAAACCCAAAAGTGATCGGAATATGCTTTCAAGAAATAACAACCAGAACGGAGTCCATGTTATCACAGCTATAAATGAAGATCCGCAAACCTAAATTCAGTCACTTAGTAATACAACAAATATTTCTTCTTCTACATCTATTACGAGCATACTTCGCGAGAACGACTAGCATAACCTATGAAATGACGTTATTCAAGAAATTAGATCTGGTGATTGTGAGAGAAGATTACATATTTTGGAAATATGCTTTCCTAAAGAATTACTTGCACAGCCATTTCCATTACAGCATTCTATGAATGATGAATTCACATTTGAGAACAGCGGTAGCACTACTAGGTACAATATGCACTACTGATGGACTGACAACAAATCTCACTGGATGCGAAAAAGAAATTTTCAAGTGTAACTTCACATCAATATTTGGGCAGGCGTTTCTAGATTTAAAACTATTGATTGAATAATTTTTGTAGGGCTATCTCCACAGTTTCGTACATATACGAAACGCAGCCTCGTGAAAGTTTTTTTAAACTGGCTCAAAAACACAAAAACGCACCCACCTACTTCAATGAAAAACTTTTAGGTGTCACTTTAAAAAGTTTGCAAATTGTATGTTGTTTGACATGTCAACATTTAAGTAGGTAAAGGGTTTTTCAAGCAAAACGTTTGGATTTGAATCGCTGACGCTTGTAGAGAAAAGATAACAGAACATTATTAATTTAAATGACATATACAGTGTGGATTACCATAAGCGAAAGGTGAACTTTGACTAGAAGAGAACAAATTGTTTTGGCATGATAATTACTTGAAATAAAGCTCTCCAGCCTAAGCGGGTCTGACTGTTAGGTGCCTTTTAAGTCTTAAAGATATCGTTTGAAAGGGCATTCAATTATGTTTCTTATATGTATGTGTTATTTGTTCAGTATAGATGATTATGAAATAGGCCAATTGGACAACGTCATTTTTTGAATAAATTTTGTTTAAATACGTGATTATTTTAAAAGAGCCTGTTTATTCGCGATTTAATTTTTGTTTATCTTTTTTTGACAGATTTTTGATAGAAATATTTTGACATTTCATAATAAAT